TTTGTGAAAAATTGACACATATTTTCCAGTAAGATTTAAAACTCAGATCTCAGTCATGCATTTACACTTTTGTCCTCATCTTTCTTGTCATATTCACAATGTTTTTGGCCACTGTATGCTCCATTGTATCACCTTCTTCAGGTGATTGGAATGTTGTCTACCAGGGAGATCATTCTAGTTCCACATGCCATGCCTCTTTTAGATGTCTCAGATCACTTTAACTCAACTCTCCATGTTTTTGTTCATCACTGCAGTAGCCAAAACTTGGACTCACAACTCACTGGATCCAACCAATGTTTTTATTCACTGGGCCTTGAGGACATCAGTTATGAATTTTTGGAATTTATAAACTGTAAATAAATATTAAATTACCAATTATTAAATTAAATCAATATAATGTCTCATTAATTTTTTTTTTTACCAAAGCTTATATTGCAATTTTGTTGTTATTGCTTTTCTCTAGCACTCTATATTACTAATTCCCATATTGTATTCATTTCTATGCTTGGCCAGCATTTCTGTGACCTAGCATATGTGCTGATTCCTTAAGTTTTCATATTTTCTAGTGATGTTCTTTGTCTATTATTTCAACCTCATCCTACAGGGGGTGGTGATCTCCCCTTTTCCAGCCATGTGTAGTCAGCTATGCCTGATTTTTCTATCTTTCCTCGTGTTATGGCTTTACAATGTTCTTGCAGTCTTATCTTGAGGGAGCAGCCTGTTTCTCCTTTATATTTCTTACCACAGCTGCACGGGATGTTGTACACACAGTCCTTAGGCATGTTCTCCTCTATGGGGGAATCTTACTCAGAAGAGACATCTGTGAAGTGTTGAACAACTTTTGAAGGTCATCCTGATGTTATATGGACTACAGATCTTTTGCATTTTCTATAATAATCCCTTCATATAAGGTAGGCAGACCAAAGCTGTTTTCTGAGTGTTGTTATCCTCTAGTACCCTTCTATCCCAGTTTGTCAGAGCTGCTGCCATGTACCCAGAGTTTTTGTTGCATTGTAGGGTACTGCTTATACTGACCAATTCTTGTTCATATGTCACCACTTATGACTTTTGCTCAATGTTGTAAGCTAGAACAATCTATCCTGGTGGACAAAATAAAGGGTTCAGTTTGAAATTGCAATCACCTGAAGAAGACCGGAGCATACAACAGCTGAAACATCATGAGTATGGCAACAAAGATGGACAACTGTCCAAACAATGTAAATAGTGTAAATAATTACAATACCTAATCTCAGAAATATAGACAGAAAATAAAGATGTGTTTCAAAAAACAAAAAATAAAGTTTAAAGCTAGTTTAGGGAACATTTTTTTCTAATTTTTAATTTTATGGAAGATGAAAAATGAAAATATAAAATAAAATTCTGAATTATGTCCTGTGATCAAAGATATATAATGACAGCTATATGGATGATGACGGAACAATAGCAATCCAAGAAGGAACAATGAAGAAAAAAAATAGCAAAGTTTAACCTTTGTATCCACAAAAAAATGGTGTGTCAAAAGGACAGTTTTCTTTTGACACCACTATTACTATATTTTCTTTTGACTCCTTCAGCAATGTTGGTTTTAAAATGCTATAGTCTTTGTTGTTGCTCAGTATCCTTTTGTAGAAGCATATTTTTGTTGCTGTAAGTCTATTCTTCATCTGTGAGGTGATTGGCCAGCATTCACTACCATATAGGAGGACTAATATTATATAACAGTTCAGTAATCTTTTTGTTTCTAATTAAATTTTTCTCTTTTTTAATCCTTTGTTTAGCTTTTGCTATCCCAGTGCTCCTTTGGAATTCAGTATTTCACTTTCCATCCCCCCTCTGTTAAAATATTTTCCCAGATATTCAAAATAAAAAAAAAACAGCACAATAAAAACAAAGGTAACAGTAATGCACAAGGTTGTTGCAAGTCAATCCAGTAGTGAGTGCTACTATTAGAAGGCCGGTAGTTCTCATCTAAGTCTGAGTTGTACTCAACAGACCCCAGCTAGTCAATCACGGGGGTAGACGTGACACAAGGCCGAGTTTAACATGGGACATCCGAGCCCATAGGCATGGACAAAAATTCCCCACAGAACCCGCATAAATGGGTTTGGGTCTGTCTACCTCCCTGTACAAGACTGCCCTTCAGCATAGCTTCGTCCAGGTTTCTCTCTGCCTGAGTGCACAGATTTTGACAGCACAGCTGGAACAGATTCCAACTGGTATATTTAACAGCCCCACCCCACGAGGGTCGTATATGGCACAAGGCCGAGTTTATTGTGAGTTCTCCAAGCCCGTAGGCTCAGCCAAAATATTCCATTTGAACCCTCATAAACGGGTTCAGGGTCGGCCTACCTCCCTGAACGAGACTCTGCCCTTTGGCATAGCCTCGTCTTGGTCTCTTTCTGCCCGGAGGCAGAGAGCTCAACCATCGGAGCTGAAAAGATTTCAGATGGAATATTTAACAGCCCCACCACGAGGGTAGTATGTAGCACAAGGTTGAGTTTATTGTGGGTTCTCTGAGCCTGTAGGCTCGGCCAAAAATATTCCCTTCGAACCTGTCTACCTCCCTGAACGAGACTCTGCCTTTCAGCGTAGCCTTATCTGAGTTCCAATCTATCCGAAGGCAGATAGTTTGACCATCACAGCTGATAAGATTTCAGTTGGAATATTCAGCCACCACCCCACGAGGGTTGCATGTGGCACAAGGCCAGGTTTAACGTGGGTTCCTCGAGCATGTAGGCTTAGCCAAAAAATGCCCATAGAACCCACATAAACAGGGTCGGGTTGGTCAACCTCTCCAAACGAGGATCTGCTCTTCGGCATAGCCTCGTCTGGGTTCCTCTCTGCGTAGAGGCGGAGAGTTCAACCTGCCAGCCGAAAAGATTTCAGCTGGAATATTCATATACAGGGTGGTCCGAAAGTCGTGTCACTCCATACTAAAAATTAATGTGAACACTACAAAGCACATGTAGTGAATTTAGTTTATTCACTTTCATTGACACTGTCACACATCGAGAAGGTTTGTATAAAAACAATCATTTTCGTACCATAAAAATAAAAAATGATGTGCGCCATGTCCTCCTGTGTGATTTTTTTTTTATGAAGCTGCGCTTTCCTTTATTGATTGTTACAAAGGCTCTCCGAACGGCATCCTTCAACTGATGGATATTACTCTGGCATCGTTCATGTATAACTCTCTCTCCTTGATAGAAAAAAACTTTTACTTATTATATTATGTAGGGGTGACAAGACTTTCGGGCCACCCTGTACTTCTCTGTGGCGGGGGTTATATTTTTTAAAAACTTAAGCAAAAGGCCAGTAATATTTTTACAAAATATAATTAATCCTTAAATGTGGTATTTTTCTTTGAAACAAAATGTCTGGGACAAATATCGTATTTTAAAGAGATTTTTTAAAGATTCTCTTTTGTTGCCATTTATCAAATTCGATTCTTTTTCGTTTTTAGTGTCTAATTATTTAAAAACGTAAAATATTTTTCTTTTTTTTATTAACTTTGTAGGCTAAAAAAAAAACTTTCAAAAAAGCCTAATTTTTAACTGGAGCTACCTAAAGTGGCGCTAACAAAGGATGCCCTTCCGATGCTTCCTCTGCATTTCAGAATAAGAAAAAAATAAATAAAAAGAGAAAAGCCAAGATTTGATCTTTATCTCACAAGCAAAGATCGTAGCTTAGTTTGGGCAGGAGCCAGTAAAGATCGAACTTACAATTCAACTCGTTAACCATTGGGCCACGTCATGACATGAGGAAACAAAAGAGTTAAAAAACAAAAACCAAAAAACTACTTCTTCACCACTTTTTTAAAGAATTTTACACGGGAGGTGGAAGTGACCGATACTAACATGCTATACTGTCTGCAGATGGAAATTTCTCACTTTTTGGTTTCAGGAAAGAAAATGTAAAAATTTCCAGCGCCCTCATTTTCATTTTTAGGTAGACAGACGGTAAACAATAAACAAACACTAAAACAGTCATGACATTTTTTCTAATAATAATTTTAAAAAAAGAAGAAAAAATGTAAATTGTAAACGTACACACATTGTCATTGTAGTAATAATCATAATGACTACTTTTAGTTTTAACACTCGTCATTATATTTCAATTTCATATTCAATAAGTTATAAAGAGTTCTTTTTTTGTTATAAAAAGTCATTTAATTAAAAAAAAATAAAAATGTAAAACATGTTGGTTTGTCAGTATATAAAAAAATAATAAAACTAAAGTTTTTTTTGCTACCTTATTATGTCGAACTTGTGTCATCAGAATTTAAACCGAAAATGAAAATACACTTTAACTTCACTTGAGTGTTCACACATTTAAGTTCAATGTTTCTTAATCTTTCTTATCAGTTCAGGTGATTTTTTCATTTGTCTCTGATCTTTTTTTTTAAGCAGTGGAACTTGAGCTGATATTATTAAATTTCATTTGTCACTTGTGACATAAAAAGTTATGTGTAAAAACCGAACTTTACCATTGTCAATTTACATTATTAAAAAACAAAAACTAAAAAAAAAAACAAACAACTAATGCCAATTAATTATTATTGTTCTCTAATCAATTTAAAAATAAAAATAAAAAAGCAACCGGAAAAAAATCAGTGTTTGCTATCAAATACTTGTACTTGTATCGAAGAAAGTCACCTTTTGACTTTCTTTACGAATATTATTTTTTTTGTCATGGTTTTTAATGAGAAATGTTTTAATAATTTTAATAAGAAATTTTAAAGAATTTATGTTTAATTTTATTAAGACATTTTTCTCGTACAAGAGAATTAAATTCTGATGCAAATTACTTTTTAAGTTTTTATTATTCATGCGTAAAAATGTGGAAGTAAAAAAACCCATGACAAAACAAAAAGGAAAAATGTTAATATTAATGATGAAGAACGTATTTTGGGGGCACCTGATAAAAAATTCGATAAGGACGTGTGTTAAATAAAATAAAATAGGTATTGTGTAATAGACAAACAAAATTTTTCTTTTTACCTGGAAATGTATTATCGTAACGCAACAAGTATACTGTGATGCCAACCCCAAAATTGAGAGGAGTGATTATAAAATCATACAAAAAATGAAGTTTTCAAGCTTCACCAAGAACGACAACTGCACTTGCTTACTTCGTAACTTTAGCTGAGAAAAAAAGCACATGTAAATAAATTAGTCAAGTGGGTGCCACTAGAAAGGCAATTTAGTAGAGAGATCTTGTTGCGTCTCTCTTCTTAACCATAGATCTTGAAAATAATTATTCAAATGATTATTCCAAATTATTGTTTTTTCCTGGGTGCAGATACTGACGGCTGTTATAATTCGGAAAAAATACGCAAAAACCTCCTCATCAAATTTTTTTAGTAGTTATCGATACAGAAGGCTATTTACCCAGGCGTTGATAACAGGCGTCTGATTGACTATTATTTTATTAGTATTATTATAGCGAGTTCAGTCCTCAGTGTTGGCCTCATGCTTTCCGCCTTGTGTCAAGATAACAGCTATAAAAATAAAATGCTTCATAAGTATTGCGTTAAGTTCTTACTGGGGGAGGGGGGCATACTTGTGTGTGACCTTGATTGTTTGTCTTTTTTAAATTTAGCCACTACTCTTAGGCTGTTAGCAATAATCAGGCGAAAAACAATGGACTTTAATTAAATTTTTCCTTTGGAAATTCCATATTTTAAGTCACTTAAAATATGGAATTTTCCAAAGAAAATATTTTCCATTATTTAAGTTATTTACATTCGGTTTTCCTCATCTTTGTTGTTATTATGATCACAACTTTTCGATCGTTGTGTCGTGCAGCCTTCATCAGGCTGTGGGATCTTCCACAACAAACCAGCCTTACCTCTTTTTAGGAAATGCACTCTTCCTATCTGGTAAGTAAAATCCTACTTTCACATAAATATAACAAGTATTCATTGGTCAATCACCTCCAATCTTGCTTGCTGATTGGTCAGTTCCGACCAATCAAACCGCCTGCACGCGACCAATCTGTTTTTTCCCGCTTTCTCCGTTTGAGCCTCCACGTGGTACACGGCCATTAAACCCAACACGTGTAAATTTCCTCGAGTTTTTTCTTTCCGGGTGCTAGGATCAAAGTTTAGTACGCTGCCTTTGTGAGCTTCCGAGTCGGCGTAACAACTATTCATTGGTCAAGGAACCTGGACGAAGCTTTGCCGAAGGGGTTTCGTTCGGGGAGGTAGACAGGGCCTGAATCCGTCGAGGCGGGTTCAAAAAATTATATTTTTTGGCCGAGCCTACGGGCTCGGGATACCACATTAAACCGGCCTTGTGCCACATTCTATCCTCGTGGATGGATCGATAAATACTGTTTTTCTTTCCATTCATCTCTCTCGCACGTCTCATTCCTTACTACCAAGTGCCAAGATGTAACCTTCAGGAACTCCCGTGTTAGTCATTTGCTGGCCAGACGTTAAAGATAATTACCAACATTCACGAACTCTGAAATCACTCCTGAACTTTTACCAACTTTAAAACTCACAATTCCAAACTTTATTCTTCTAAATTACAAGTTCAATATTACTTCTTCTTAATATGAACTCCGGTACAAATATTACCAAATCAAAGGGACACGACTCTGTCCTACCTTTTCAGTTCGCATGCATGTACATCAAACATTAATAAATCTAATTGTTATATTTTGGAATCATTCAGTTCAGTTTTGTATTTTATTCTATGTGCTATTTACGTCAAGTATAAATTGCATCGTGTTCACGCATTGTCCTGAATCTCATCTTTCCTAGCCAAAGTAAAATATTGGTAACACATACTACTACATTGGTGACACCGACGTTCAAGGAATATACAAGCTTTTGGTGATTCCGTCGGAATTAAACAACAATGGTAAGCTAAACCACTACAAATGATGACCGCGACGTTCGTCGTTCAACGTTTACAACAACAATGGTAAGATAAACCACCACAAGGCAGTAGTACTAAACTAGACGAGCAGGGCCAGATTTATGTGAAGGGAGGCCCTCTAGGGAGGCTATTCCACTTGGAAGGCACCTCCAAATCCCCCGGATTCTCAAGAGTAGAAGAAAATGGAAGAGTGTTAAAAATTAGTAGAATTTAGACAATTTGAGTAAAGTCGAGGTGATGCTGGGTGTTTAAAATTACTGAGAAGTTTTATTTAGAAACTACAATGCATTATGACAGCATGTTTAAGAAAGGCCTATGACAGTGTATCGGCACACACCCTCCTTCCGTCAACGGTTGTCTCGAACCTTTTCTCTTTTTCTTTCCTTCATCGTCGTTGCTAACCTTTGAGCAACGACCCAACACTTTCAACGTTAAGTCACGGGATCGTTTTGGAATGAATACCCATTCAAAGTGTTTTGACGGTTGGCATTTGCCGCCAGTCAAAGGTCACGTGACTTATCGGATCCCTCGCCAAAAAGTATCCACGTGCAGGAGAGGATCTGCGGGTATTGAGTCTTCCCGACTCAATACCCGCAGGTCTTCCGTCTCTCCCTCTTCACCATACGCTTTAAGCACTAGACTTCTGTAATAGACTTTTATAGACAATTTCTTTGCCTGAAGCTACCTTTCATCATCCTTGACTCGATCTCAGGCCAACTATCCGACCTTACCTCAGGTCCAAAGCAATAAGCATTGGTCACGAACTCTCAGTATCAAACGGACCTTACCTCCTGTCCAAAGCATCAACTATTCGTCATGAACCTTCAGTATCAAACGGACGTTACCTCTTGTCCAAAGCAATAAGCATTGGTCACGAACCCTCAGTATGAAACGGACCTTAATTCTTGTCCAAAGCAATAAGCATTCGTCACGAACCCTTACTATCAAGCGGACCTTACCACCTGTCCAAAGCAATAAGCATTCGTCACGACCCTCAGTATCAAACGAACCTGTCCAAAGCAACATCTATTCGTCACGAACACATACATACATCAAATACAAATCACATCCTGTCAAGCATTCACAAGTTAATTCGTCACCACTACGTTATTATAGACAATTTACAAATCGCAGCAATGCAACAAGCATTCGTTAATCGCTCTATTTCAAATGTAGTCAGTTTTGTGCACTTTTGGGAGAAACGAACCTACAGTATCCAGAAGCTTTCTTAAGTTTCCCCAAAACTCGCTCGCTGATTGGTCAATGCCAACCAATCAGATCGAACTTCAGTATGAAGAACCTTTTTTCCCGCACAGCGATTTGGAGCATATTGTCACTTATTCAGTAAGAATTTTTCTTAGCTAATTAGTGAGAATTCAGCTGCCAAACGAATCCACGACAGTTGAAAACGGCAACCTTCTCCTGTCCAAACACACCATTCACATGCTGAACATTCCTTATACACGGACATAATCTTTTCTTCCACAGCAAAAATCTTCTCAGAACAGTCATTACAAAGGAACTCCATTCCATAAACATTCTTCCAGTGAACTTTCAAATCAAACAAAATAATAGTTAAAGAGAGACAACTCTTATTTTATTCAACCTTTTCTTACTTAAATGCATGCTTTCTTTCACATCGTTGTTTGATATTGTACATCTCGTTAAATACATATTTTATGTGTAACGATGTCTTTTCCACGTCAGTTTTGTTAAATTAATGTGGTAAAGTCCGCCACAACCTTACCTCCTGTCCAAGCAACAAGTCAGGAACCCACGTGTCTTCACACTTGGTATTCGTATCTCATGGATCTTTCCCTTTGGTTTATACTTCATTCTATGTGATGAACGTTTACTTGCAACTTGATTCAGTGATTCTATCTTTCGTCAAACTCGTGTCGGAGTCTCATAACCGATTGGCTTAATTCTGTTTCTAAATCTCCTTTGATTCGTCTTCTTTTACCAAAAGAAAACATTCATAGACGAAGTTGCCTCCCTTGTACCGTTTATTCAAAAAAGGAGATTCTTACAATTGATCTCTTCTACGTTTTTGGCTACTTCCTCTTCAAAAACAGTTGGCACCAACCATTACTATTTTTGGCGCGCAACAACGTTCGATCATCTCAACATCAACTTCACGTCGCACAGATTTGCTGGACCATTATCCAGAAACCAGGAACTCGACATTGCATTCTTTCCTTTTCTCCATTCCTGTCAATTTGTTGTTCAAATAAAGTTATATTTTGTTATGCCTCTCTTACCTCATCCGTGTTTGTCCGTTCTCTACCGTTGCTAACCTTGTCATGAACCATTGATATTCTAAAGGAATATCGAGTACACTTATATGTGGGAGTCTGGTGATCTGACACAAGGCCATACACAAGAAACCTCACTAGGCGGCCAGGCTTCCCCTACAAGTGTTATATTATACACCTTGGCTGGAAGACCCCTGGATTTTGAAGCCCTAGGCTTCAATCTTCTATGTCTAATAGGTAGATCTGGCACTGAGTACAACGGGCTGAATGTTGCACGTAGCGGACCACCTGCCTAACAAGTTGATGAAAATAAATGGCAGAATGGAGAGTGGAAGATATGCTAAAAAGACAAAAATTACAAAGAGCTACGAAGCATAGAATGTTGCGTAGAGCCATGACCACCCAGGCCATGAAGGAGATAACAAACTAGATGATTTTCTCTCCGAAATTTTGGGATGAGGAATTATTATTTACACTATTTATATACGGACTATTGTCCTTATCTGTCGGAATTTCAAGTCCAACTGTTATGGAAAAAGGAAGATAGAAAAACTATAATGGCAATTATTAGTATTTGAAGCGAAGCTCAGCACAGAAAGAAAGAAATGTTAACGAATTCTTATAACTGGCATAATCTCGCCATGGCAACCATTTGTGCCAAATTGCAAAAAAAAAAAAAAAAAAAAAAAAAAACACACTATATGTTGCCTACAAGTAATTCTCCTTGTAGAAATAACGATAGAAAATAATGAGTTAGGACTCTTATTAACAGTTTTGGTAACACATCCAGTCAGCTTCGAAAGAGAGAGCATTGTCGTAACGAAGAAAGAAAAAAATACTGCATTCGGCTGACTATTTTAGCATTTTATATATCTCTCTCTTCGAACACATATCCAAATTTTGATTTCCCTTCAATCAGATAAAACGGGAAAAGAAGGCTCAATCATTGATCCATTGTTTCCCTTTGATACAAGGAGAGAACAAAGGCGAGAAGAGAAATGACCCCTTGAACTTACAAGGCTTTAGAAGTTCAACTTCTAAAGCCTTGTAAGTTCAACGGGTTACACTCATACCAGCTCTCATTAGTTGATTTGGTATCATGATAGAAAGAATAGAGACACGGATAAAGGAAAATGGCATTGATTGTGGAATTGTTACAGACAGAAAGTCTGTTAGGAACAGCAAGAATAATCTGGAAAGTGATGAAAAATTGCACGATACCTAAAGTCCACTATCCATGCATTAATTACCAGATGTGAAGACCATATCTGAGGATATATTGAAATAATTGTCGAGATTTCAAGCCCGACTGTTATAGAAAAGGGAAGGTAGAAAAACTATAATGGCAACTATTAGTATTTGAAGCGAAACTCAGCGTAGAAAGAAAGAAATGATAACGAATTCTTACTTGTAACTGGCGTAATCTTTCTTCGAACACATATGCAAATTTTGACTTCCCTTCAATCAGATGGGGTCAACTGGAACTCATTTCTTTAAATTTTCTTTGAAGACGAAATAATATCTTTCATTATATTTTCGTCACAAGATTACAGTTGAATTCCCTCCTTTCTTCCTTTCCCCCCAAAGTTTCGCTAAGGTAAGTGAGCAAAGTTTCTACACATCTTCCCAGGATATTTAAAGTTCAACCGCGCGGACGTTGTAGAAAGCACATCACGTGAGTTGTCCTATCCAATCAAGTTTCAGAACCCACTTATTTAATTTGGAGTCGTGTTTGTACAGAACTGTGTAAAAAAAAAAAAAAAAAAATCGCATTTACTGAATTTAGTAAGATTTATTTGTAGGCGTCTCTTACTTGTTTGTGCTTCACTTATTGGTTGGAAAATGTAGGAGTTTATATCCTATAAGTTCAGTTATCCGGGGAAAGATATCCCCAAACCGAGAACAAGTGCCGTGATAGCCTTACTACTAACGCATGTTAGGAAAGAAGGAAAAAGATGAAGAAACAGGAAGTGTACTGTTTTTATAGCGTTTTATCACCGCCGCTTAACGGCGTCTTGGCAAACCAAGTGTGAGTAACTCTGCAGTGCAGCCATGGACTTCCTAAAAAGAACCCGAATAACACATTTTAAATAAGTTAAATGTTTTCTTTGAAGTTAAATGTTGATTTTATTTAGAAATATAATAGCCTAAAGTTAATCCGTATTACAAGAAAATTAGGGTATTGACAGATTTTGGCGGAATTATTTTTTTGGTCAGGTCAAGAACTAGGTCGATGTTACTCGAACATGACTTAAATATTAAGTGACCAATCAGAAATTGAGGTTTTCTGAAAATATGTATTATGCTGAATAAGCTTTTAGCATTCCGTTACCACTTTTTTTTATCAATGTCGATTTTTATGCAAAAAGCGGATCACAGCTTCATACATATTTTCAGAAAGCCTTAACTTCTCATTGGACAATAAATATTATAATTATCTCGTGTATCTTCACGTACATTGTTTCTCAATCAGCGAAACAAAACATATCAGGCTCCGGACTGAGTTTTGTTAGACGCTTTCTGATTGGTTAACAAATATTAAAAATACAATTTACCTGTTCACCACTACGTCCGAATAACATCAACCTAGTTTTTTGACCTGACGAAAAAACAATGTTTTTTTAGCCAGTCACGTGACCTAAAAACATATGTACGAGCGATTAATCCAGTCAGTGAGAATTTACGACGACTAGTATTTTGCTGAACGAGTTCACGACGCCTGTTACTGCAGCGAAGTACAAAGAGAATCTCAAGTCCTTTAACATGAAATAACTTCACTGTAGTGTAATTCAAGCAAATTTCAACTAAACAACTCACTCACCAACTTCTTCTCCAACTTACTAAAAAAACTATTCAATCACGCTATTGAATCTTACGAAATTGCAAAACATTACGAACAATACATTCAACTACGAGCAACGAAAACAAATTAGAGACATTACGGAACATTCACTTCTCCAACTTCTTTAAAGCTAAAAGTTTACCAACATATTTTCAGCTTTACACAATTCTTTAAACTATCTTTCAGTGAACATTTTGAGCGACAAGTTAATTCAACTTTTTGTGAGTTCAGGTAAAAATATATTTCAGTAGTAAAGACTTTAATTCAGACAAAGGGAAGTAACTCATATTAACAATTCATGTAAAAAACTGTTGACATATATTGTACCTGTTATGAAAAGTTATTTTCTTGTGTTCTTTCTCTTGTTTGTTTTTCGTTTGCTTACACATTTGTAAAGTAAAAAAATGTGCGGGTTGATTTACGCCATTCATACCGCTACAAGCTCTGTGATCCACCTTTTACACAGATCTGTTTTACAAAAATTGATATTGATAAAAAAGGTGGTAGCAGGATGCTAAACTACCTAGTGGAAGTGAAGTTATATTGGGGCTCTTAGAAGTCTCTATAAACTGCTTATTGGACACAGATAACCAGCTGTCATACTTCTCTAAAGGAATATTAAAGAAATTCAAATGTCCTGACTGGAGTCTGAATCCTATCGATTTCCAAGTAAAAACTTATAGGTGTCTCCAGTAAGAGATTCTACA